TTAAAGGATTCAAGGAATCTGGAGGGATTTCAGTGTGTAAAGGGCGCCAGTCTAAGCTGGATGACCGAGCTTTCTGATCCCTCACACGGGACTGCATCAATAATCGTCACTCTTCTATAAGCGATATAACCACATGGGCTCAGGATGACTCTGGCTCACCTGTGTCAGGCACTACAATACATAGTTACATCCATAAATGCTGCTTAAAACTGTGCTGTGCCAAAAGGAAGCCCTATGTCAACAGTATCCAGAAGTTGACTGCTCCAGGCTCGGAGGCATCTGGAATGGACCATCACACAGTGGAAACGTGCACTGTGGTCAGACCAATCAGTGTTTCAGGTCTTCTTTTTTTTAAGGGAATGGACACCATGTGCTCAGGACCAAGGGCAAAAAGGACCATCCAGACTGTTACCAGCAACTGGGGTTATGTCAGTGCCCTTGGAAAAGGTCACTTCCACTTCTGTGATGGTTCCATTAATGCTGAACAATACACAGAGACTTTGGAGCAACATCTGCTGCCTTCAAGATGACATCTTTTCCAGGGACACCCATGCATATTTCAACAAGACAATGCAAACCTCATAGTGCCACATTACCAAGGCCTGCCTGTGGAGGAAAAGGGTGTGAGTACTGGACTGGCCTGCCTGCAGTCCCCACCTGTCCCCAGTACAGAATGTGTGGCACATTTGGAAATACAAATTGCATCAACGAAGACCGTTGGACATCTTAAGACTTGTTTTCAGGTTGCAGGAAGAATGGGACAGAATGACACTTGACACACTTAATCACTTGGTGTCCTTAGTCCATAAACATCCTTTAAGCCTTTAAGTGTTGTGAAAAGGAACGGCAGCATCATATCGTGGTAAACGCTTTACAGTCCCAACTTTTTTTGGAATGTGTTGCAGCGTTGTTTTCAGTGTAACACAAAAATGTTTCGGGCTCGTTCACTATTTCGGTTTGAGTCATGTTACACTTTTTCCAAACTTTCCCAAAAAATAATTCAAGCACAGTTTGGCCACTTGTCTTTTAACAGGATTGAGTTCGATATTTGAGGCTGCCAGTAAGATGCCCTAATTCTCATAATAGTCTTTGATGTATTGCCTTCTACCTGCCTCATCCATAACACCTGCTGGATACCCGCTGGCCTCCTGTTTCCCTTTGAGAAAAGTACTGATGTAACCTTTAAAGAGAGAGGCGCTCTGTTCTTTGAAATGCCACACTTTGCTAATTTCAGCAAGTCTGTATCCTTTCTCCAGAGCTTTTACAAACTCCAGGGTGACCCACACACTGGACAGCGCCCTTTCTTCATCTGTGTGAGGGCATGGGCCATCCTGCAGATTCACTTCTGCACAGTGTGAAGTTGAGCTTCCCTCTTTGTAAGGTAGCACTGGAAAAAACAGGTCCCTGGGTGGATATACTTTAGCCTTAATGAACCTGAAATAAGGTTCTACAGGCTGAAAATCCCTGAATATGATTTCGGGGTAACCCACGGGGTACGGACATGTGTAATTTACATAAGGGTACAGGGACGTCAAGTCCATGTATCTGACCGTCTCATGCTCACTGGCTGAATACCTCAGAGTCACGGGGCAGTGCGCCCTCCGTACAAAGCGTCTCATGGGGATAACGGCTCAGGGGCTTTATAGCTTTTTAGGAAAGCTTTCACACCCTCATGAGATTTTTTCATTTCGACCCAACGGTACTCTTTCATGTCCACGAGGCTCAGACCGTACACACTCTGCAATTTTGCCAGTCTGTCTCGTGTATCTTCCTACATTTCCTCAAAGGTTTTCCCCGACAAAGGGTGAATTCTGTGGCCTGGAAAACATTTCAAACATCTGTGTTAAAAACAACCCAAGAATTCAAACAATCCTGTTTTTCAGGCAGGGGCGGACTTTGGATGTAACATTTATGCTACTCGGCTGACTCATCATCGATGATGCCCTCGCAGATGTAACAATTTGAGTAGGGGCACTTGTGAGGCTTTGCCTGTTTAGTCAGCGGAGTGTAATACAATCTGGAGCATTTTAGACATTTTTTATGGATTTGGAATAGGCTGGCGTGCGTGGAGGAGCACCGGCAGTTGCATTGGTCACACACCACACTCTCTGCGGGGGGTGTTTGCATCCCTGCGCAGTCTGCATCAAAACACAGTGGTTGCATATATATTTTGAGCCTATGAACAAACGCTTTTGGATTTTTTTACCCCATAATTGTTTTCATAGAGGAACACATATAACGTTTCATCTTTTGGAGCACTCGAGGTTTGAAATATATTCAAATGTTCTTTGCCTGTTCTGTAAAACACTACAATTTTACATTGGGTGATGTTAGGATTGGATTTCAGGAGTTAAAGTTATTTTTCTACTTATCATCAGTATTATTTTGCTTTTATAATGGAAAAGTTCAGTATGACTATTTGTCTGTGTTTCATTAACAGCTCCATGTATCAGTATTAACCTGGCTCTTATGCATGCATTATAGTTATAATATTCAGCTGAGTCAACTTGTAGTATTTCTTCTTGGTGAAATGTGCATAAATTGATTGCAGAGATAAGTGTCATCCTGAAAACTATAGATAAGATGCTAACCACATGTCTACTTTCAGAAATGCCTGAAAATACCAACACACACACACACACGCTGCTTATTCGAACATTCTAGAAGATTTGCATGAATCTTGTAGAATCTTGTATGAACCTTGTGTCCAGTTCATGTTGTAAGTGTAGAGCCAACAGATTAGAAGATAATATGAGTTCATATCTGTATGAACCTTGTGTCCAGTTCATGTTGTGAGTGTTGAGTCAACAGATTAGAAGATAATATGAGTTTCCACTCATGTACAGGGCAGTCCCAGCCCGAGAAGATAAATGTGAATTACTTCCTATTATCAGTGCTCTTGGAGACTTGTCATCTCATAGAGCCCAGCGCTGTAATAACTCTGCATTTAACCAGAAGAAAATAAATCTACATAAAGCTGATTCCTGTTTCCTGAGTGTTATTTATTGGGGCCTTCAGATAAAAGAACCGGTTGTAGTTAAAAGTGACTTCTTCAAATTTTTGTACGTCTGTAAAACCCACAGGCATCTGCTTGGTTAGACTGGCCTGTCTCTGAAACTCACGAGCTCTCCTCAGGGTCTCTGAGTCTGTCATTTCAGGGAAAATGAGATGCGCGAGGCTGATGGCAAAACAGAGCTGATTATCTTTATTTTCAACGATGTAAAGAAATCTCTGCTTCTTTTTAAAAATCTCATAGTCTGTTTTATTCAACAAACGCTTGCCACCGTCTATGGGATTTCTCACGACCTGAATCACCAGCTCCAAACTATCATCTGTTAGCACGGATAAGTTGGATTGGATCATTCTGTCTAATAAGTCTTGGAATTGGGTTAAGTCTATGCCGTCAGAGAGAGATGCAATGATGGACGCATTTGTTCTAAGCATATCACCCCTTAATTCAAGCTGAATAAGATCGCCCTCGTGACACTGGTTTAGAGCCTGATGAACAAGGTCAGACACGTTTCCCATAACGTTACCGTAAAAGTTTCCATAATTAACTTCGTCCATTTGATCGATATTTAACAACCGCCTTATTTCAAAGTTGTTGAATCTATCCCTAGTGACAACTGTGGTTTCAGGGAATGTTTGATCAGATGAGGATCGGGTTTATTTTGAATGTTTTGTGTGGAGGCAGGTATTTGACCAGATCCTTCATTTTGAGAGCTTTCTAAGTGAGCAATTTGTTCATTTTGGTTTACACTATTTTGGTTTTCTGAGTGATCATTTTGTTCATTTTGGTTTTCACTATTTCGGCTTTCTGAGAGCAATTTGTTCATTTTGGTTTTCACTATTTTGGCTTTCTGAGTGAGCATTTGGTTCATTTTGGATTTCATTATTTTGTTTTTCGTTAGAACCCCAGCCTCTTTGCTGGTGAAAAGTTTGTCTTATTTCCAACAACAGCCTATTTACTGAAGCTTCTAATCTGTCCAAATCTGAAGCATACGCATTAACCCCAACTGGTGGTACAACATCATCAGTACACTCTAGGTATAGACCTTTATTTCCAACAATGTATTTACTGAAGCTTCTAATCTATCAAAAAATCTATCTATCTAATCTATCTGAAACATACGCATTACCCCCCTCTGGTGGCAAAACATTGTCAATAACATTGAGGAATGGTTTATCAACAATCGACTGATTAACGTGTCTAATCAATCAAAATGAACCGCATCAACACTCTCATTCCTGGACACATCATTCACATCATAGTTATCATCATCCATCTTACTTTTTAATCACACTGTTGTTGTAACAAGCAAGAATATCACCCATCACTTGAAAGGATTCACAAAATAACCGGTTGAGATGCATCAGCATGATGTTGGAATGACACCTCGCATCGGGGATGAAGCTTCTGTCATCACGACCGAGGTCTCCTCTTCCAGAACATCTACAGACGTGCGTACGCCTCCTGCTCCTCCTCCGACGAGAGCTGGAATCTGAACGGATAAATATAAACGAGGATTAAAATAGGCTGCTGATGATGAAGAAGGTTTTAAAATAAATGTAGAAACGGCCCACAATAAGCATCTTACCTGATGAAGAATCAGAAGAGGAAGAACGCTGGCATTTTGTGTGACTTGGTCTGCCCAAAGTCCTGCTCAAGCATCATTCCTCAAGCTGCAACAGTGCAGATTCTTCAGGGGTCACTTGTCGGTCCTGATCCGGTTGCTCTGGGTCATCTTGAAGCGGCGCTGTCTGAATTCCTAGTTGTTGTTGCTCCTCATTGCCTTGGAGGCCCCAGCCCTTTTTGATTCAGCTGCTGCTGTTCTTCCGGGTCGGCGTTAGAGCCGGGGTCGCATTGCAGTAATACACAGTCAGGAACTGAGATGGCAAAACGTTATTACAGGAGGTAAGAACCAATATTATAAAAAAAATAGGCATACACATAGGCTTATATGAAATACTCACTTTCCAAAGCCAGGCCAGTTAGGGGTGGTTGACGCTGAATGCCGGCTTCCTTTTAGAAAAGAGAACGCATCTTTTTGTTTTCTGCACCTCTCTTTGCCTTTATATATATTTATTTATTTATTTATTTATTTATTTATTTTACCCGTCATTCTTTAAACTTACCGAATGCCCCACGGTCCTGCCTCGGTGGTGCACCAACCCTTGTTGTTGTTGACGCAAAGTTTGCTCATACACCCTCAAATAGCTGTCTGACCAGTATAAAACAGTTTTTCAGAAAAAAGAAAACGAATATACAAAAGGATAAAAAATGTAGCGGAATATTTACGAACTTATTCTTCAAGACGCACAGAGTTAATGTTGTGATATGCTCACGCTAATGTGTATGAAAATGATCGCATTAACACAGTTTTTTTTAGTAAAACAGAAAATAAACGCATTTCTTTTTCAGAGGCTACCTGGATCCATGCTGATGTACGTGTCTGCACACCCTCAAAACACTCTTTAAACAAGCACTATTTATAATGGAATTTGTGGCTGTTGTCTGTAAGCCTAGTGTTTGTCGTTGATGATGAGACAGCGGTTCTGCTGTCTCTTACAAATACATTGTGACAGAGATCTTGTTACATTTATCTCCAAAAACAGGTGCTATGTCATCATCTATGAATGCAGATGGAAAAACGACATGTCTGAGAGGGGGTAAAACGCTGCATAGCTATGTGAGCGAATGGGGGCCATGGAAAAGCTGTCAAAAACAACTTGTGACTATTGAAACTGATGTGACCTGGGCAGAGGGATGATCTCTTGATTTAAAAGGTAATGTGTTCCCCTTATCTGTTTGGACATCCGTTATAATATACTGTAAGAAGATGTGCTGTCATATTCAGTTCATTGAGCCTTTTCCCCCTCAGACTGCGTTGACACTCTGTGTAGAGATTGCTCCTTTTTGCACAGAAAATAAATGTACAATAACCTTCAGAGTTGGGGTGCGGATTATGGGATCTGGGTCCTTGATTAGGGTTTGACCTTGTTAGGTTTAGATTGGTCAAAATTTGAGTCAGGTGGCCAGGGGTTATGGTTTAGACATTGAGTCCCGAGTGGTTAAGGTTGGGGCCACGGTATCACAGATGGGCCAGAGATGTGGAATGGTTAGGGTCAGGGTAGGGATATGGGTTGGCCTTAGGTAGGGTTGGGGTGTGAGGGTTGAGATTGGGCCTCAAGTTCCAGATGGTTAAGGTTAGGACCAGGGTAATGCAAATAGGTGGCTTAAGGTTTGAGGTTATGTTTAGGGCCAGAGATGTGGAGTGGTTAGTGTCAGGGTAGGGGTATGGATTGGGGTGTGAGGGTTGAGATTTGGCATTAAGTCTTTGATGATTAAGTTTAGGGCCAGGGTAACACGAGTGGGCGGCTTGAGGTTATGTTTAGGGCCAGAGATGTGGAGTGGTTAGTGTCAGGGTAGGGGTATGGGTTAGGGTGTGAGGGTTGAGATTTGGCATTAAGTCTTTGATGGTTAAGTTTAGGGCCAGGGTAACACGAGTGGGCGGCTTGAGGTTATGTTTAGGGCCTGAGATGTCGAGTGGTTAGGGTCAGGGTAGGGGTAGTGGGATAGAGATGGTCCCGGGGGTGTATATTAATTTGTGTTTAGGTTAGAGAGTGCAGTTTATGTTCAATTTTGGTTTTGGTGAAGTATTTTGGTTGTGGGGCATTGTTCTGTTAGGTTTGGTTCTGAGACGTTTGGTACCCTGACTGAGTTGTCTGTTCACCGGAGTGGCCTTAGTTCAGTTGTCAGTTCCATTTTTTCTCACGGTGGGTGTGGCTTTATCTGCTTGCCACATCTCCTCTTGTTAAAGGTCAATCCCACTAAATTTCAACCTGTGCTCAGGTTTAAGGACATCTGCTTTCAATGATAACATAAGAAGGCAGGTCCTGACATGTTAAAGATTAATGTTATATTGTTATGTCCTATTATATCTGTAAAGTTTTCCCATAAGCCTCCTATTTGGTTCGGGGTTTTTTGGCGGGTTCAGAGCTTATGTCTGTTTTGTTTGCTATATAAGATCTTTTATTTGTTTATGTGTAGTTTTTGGCCCCCGGTTGTGGGTGTCTCTATATGTTTATATGCCTATTCTTTTATATGTGTATCCATTCACTTGGTTCCATTTGGGTGCTGGTTCAGTTGAGGTTTGTTTCGGTTCAGTGTTTGAGGTCAGATCTCATTTTAGTCCTGTGTTTATAGTGGTTTTAATTTTATGCTCCCTCGTAGGTGTTTTGAAGTATTCTGTCTAATGGGCTCACCTAGAACTGTTACATTAAGTTTGATGAAAGGTAGTATACACCTTCTGTGTATAAGCACTATGCAAGCATCTCTATAGCTCACAAAGAGCTGTTCTTTGTCCATCTGCACTTTCTCTTTAGAGTGTATATGGGTTCTGAGCTCCACCGATCTCATCAGTAAAGCCCTCAATGTGAATCCAATTCGTCATCTGAAATGAGAAAAGACTCGCCTTATAAATATAATACAGCTCCACCAAGCTGCTGAATTATGAGGCCACCACAGTCTACAGGCACAACAAAATCAACATGTACACTATAATTCAAAGAAGCCAGAACTCACTGCATGTGCCTCAAGCAATACAATTGGCCAGAGCAAATTGTAATCAGAGAATAAGCAGATTTATAAAATTGCAGTTAGATGGTATAACAGGTTTTACCCAAATCCACAGTCATGAATAACCTCATCGCCTATTTGTTAATCAAACTGATAGTCCCTGAAGCCTTCCATGTTTTCAATAATATCCTTGTTCCTTTCTCCTCTGACCGTTTTTTTTAACATCTTTTCACCTTAATCCATTGTCTTCTTTTCTAATTGTCCTTTGAGTCTGGGATTTATAAGCTCAGAATGGAGGTTCAACTTCAGCATGTATCCATCTGTAAGTCCTGCATTGCTTGTGTGGTCTGTAGACCTGTCATCTTCACAGCAGAGTCAACATCCCTCTGTCTGTGTCCTAACCTGTGGCTTATGACCTTCAATAGCCACCCACTGGGACACCCTGGCACTTAAAATAAACCACGGTGACCTTCTGCATTGTTTGCTCACAAAGCTCTGTGCACTGATGTACAGAAACAGTAATCATTCATTACCACATATGACTCACCTGCCTATTATCAGCTAATCTCTACCACTGTGCACGCCAGTGAACCAAATGAGGTAAGAAGCCTTGGGTACTAAAATGAACTGAAATGACTGAATAGTTATCTGAATTAGAAGGACAATATGAATAATTTCCCCTCAAGGCAACTAAAAAGGTTAATATGTACTAACAAATAACCTTTTTGATTCTCAATTAAAATACCTTTAATTTAGAATAACCAAAATGAGGATTTTGCGCTACAATTAATCAAAGCAGGGAAGCAATCCATCTTGTTTTCCTCCAAATGAATCACATTGAAGGCCCTGATGTGTATCTTCTGCCACTGAGTTAACCTAAACAAGAATATCTTGCGCAAATGCATTACTTGAAACCAGGAGCTGATGTGATGTAATGAAGAAGTAAAAAGTGCAGATCCTTCACGGTTTGGGTCAGGCCCAAGTATATCTTAAGGCTATAGCATAATATTTCAAAAAAAGCAACATCTAGCACTGTGCAGCAGGCTTTATCGTCCAGCATCAGTGGCCGACCTCACTGATGCCATTGTAGATGAACTGGATCAAATTGACCTTGGTTGTAGCAAATGGGCTGTAAGCCTGGTCACACTTTTGAAATGCATTATACTCAACAGACTCAATGCAGTATGCAATGACAGTGTAAAAATAAAATACTAACGCTCTTATCACAAGATAAAGTACTGTCTGAAGGCCATGACATGCTAACCCCTGGACATAGGAACACAGCTCAACCTCTCACACTAAGATGGCATATTTGAAACATACAGTCAGGGAAAAAATTATTTGAACCCCAGCTGATTTTGTAAGTTTGCCCACTAACAAAGAAATGATCAGTCTACAATTTCAATGGTAGGTTTATTTGAATCACCCGTGAGGAGCTTGGAGTAGAGCCGCTGCTCCTCCACATCAAGCGGAACCAGTTGAGGTGGCTCGGGCACCTGTTTAGGATGCCTCATTGATGCCTCCCTGGGGAGGTATTCCGGGCATGTCCTACCGGGAGAAGGCCTCGGGGCAGACCCAGGACATGTTGGAGAGACTATGTTTCTCAGCTGGCCTGGGAATGCCTTGGGGTTCCTCCTGAGGAGCTAGAGGAGGTGTGTGGGGAGAGGGAAGTCTGGGAGGCTCTGCTCAGGCTGCTGCCCCCGTGACCCAGTTTCGGATAAAGCAGACGAAGATGGATGGATGGGTGAGTGAGGACCTCACTCGGACACTTAACACCACACAGCTGGTCAAGAAGGCCCAACAGCGGCTGTACTTCCTGAGGAGCCTGAGGAGGTTTGGCATGTTGCCTAGGATCCTCAGCAACTTCTACAGCTGCATCATTGAGAACATCTTGACCAGCTGCACTACTGCTATGGACCACAAGTGCCTGCAGAGAGTGGTAAAGACTGTGGAGAAGATCACCAGGACTCCACTGCCCTCTCTGCAGAGCATTTACCACCGCAGGGTGCGTAGGAAAGCTGCCTCCATCCTCAAAGATCCCACCCACCCCCAGCACGGACTGTTCCCCTCCCCACCCTCTGGCCGGAGGTTCAGAAGTGTGAACTGCAGGACCACTAGACTGAAAAACTCTTTCTTTCCCTCTGCCATCAGACTCCTAAACAACGGAGGAGTTTATTACCAGGAAATACGTCATATGCTGTCGACCTGTACTGTTTACACTCAGTTTGCACATGCATAATTGCACATTGACTGTTGACTGCTGCACATGCTGCTCCCATGGAGCATACATTTAGTGGGTTATATTACCACAGTAGTTAATTCTGCTTAACTGAGACCTGTTGGCCAAGTATATGGACACTTACACTGCCCTCTAGTGGTGTTGGAAGAGTACAACACTCTACACGTAAAATTCCAAATGGCGGAGAAGACAAGAGAAAGTTCGGGTGGGCACTCCAAGCCCAAACATGGACAAGGTAAGAAATCCAATTATATTTCATGGCTAATTTTTGGCGAGATATGCATGAAAGAATTGTAATTTTGTTATAACATGCAAAATTGGTGAAAATAAGTAAAAGTTTTGATAGAGTATGCAGCTAAACATGAATATGTTAGTAAAAAATCAGCAGATGTATATCAGTTTATAGCTAACTCTGGTGCAGTTTTAAAGCTGTACATTGTCCCAGTGAAATAAATTAACAGTTAAATAAATACATATATACATAAATTATTTAACTTTTTTCATGATTTTATTTTCAGAGCGTTATTCTTTGCAAAGCATACTGGAGTTACTCGAGCTAATCGATGGAGACAAGTCAGATTTGGAACATTTGTCTGACAATGATGATGCCATCCTGGATGCAGATTATCAACCCCCACCACAGAAGCAAAGCAGCAGTGAGGATGACAGTAGTGGTGATGAAGACCCCATTCCACAGCCCACAGAGCACAGAAGGGGACGTAAACGTCTCCATGGTAAAAATAATAGTTAGCCAAGACCCAGTGGATATTTGTTTATTTTAGGCAGTTAGGACTTAAGGGTTAGGTGAAGGATATATATAGACACAGCAACATTAGCATTTTTGCCACAAACATTGAATTTACAATACTTGTTGACAGATTCAGGGACAGTTTCAGACTATGATACTGCCAGATCCCACACTGCCAGACGTAGCCACCAAACTCAGCAGATTGAGGCTGATGGCTCAAATGATGGCTCAGAAGAGCCAACACCAGGACCAAGCCCTCAGGAAAAGTCCAATAAAGGTAGGTGTTCACCACAGTGAATTGCTTGTCCATGTAGGCAATATCTGCCAATGAAGCCAAACCCTGTTGGCATAAAGAACTTTGTGCCACAGCAGATGGCATTGTGCTGGACTTTGATCTGTATCAAGGTCGAGATGCACTGCTTGATCAGGTGGAAGAAACAGAGGGTCTTGTAGTATCAGGTGATATCCTGTGGGGGAGGAACCTTGGTGGAAAGGTTAAGTGCGGGAGTGAGGGGGAGAAAAATAAAGTGAACACCAGAGAACAGCACTGAGCGCACGGTCGTCTGTATTATTGAACCCAGCTACATCGATATAAATATATAACAAGACTCGAACATGGTGTCAGAAGTGAGATGCGACGAGTGGCTAGAGGAAAAGTGAAAGCCGAGCCGTGTGAGTTTTTTTTCCTTCTTTTCTTTTTCCTTTTTCCCGAGCGGGGAGCGCACCAAGTTTGGCGCCGAAATGAGTCAGTTTCAAGTTCCGCTGCCAGAAAAGTTCACGTTTAAGGCGGATGACTGGCCAAAATGGATAAAACGCTTTGAAAGATTCCATATAGCCTCTGGTTTGGAAGTACAACCAGATGAAAACCAGGTAAACGCGCTTATCTACTCGATGGGAGAGGAAGCAGAGGACATTCTAGTTTCACTGCATCTACGCCCAGAGGAAGCGATTGACTACAACGCGGTGAAAACAAAGCTGGATGTTCACTTCGTGGCCCGCAGGAATGTAATTTTTGAACGAGCAAAGTTCAACCAAAGGCAGCAAGAGATCGGGGTGACGATCGACAACTTCCACACAGCACTACACTGCCTGGCAGAATACTGTGGCTATATGGGGTCCTACACG